ACCTGCCTGAGATACTGAAATAAGAGAAGACCCTATATGCCGACGACCTAGCCGTCAGGCATTCAAGTGAACAAGCTGGCGTCAGTGCACAGTTTATGAATGAGGATATAAATAGATTCAATAACTACTTCTGCAAGTGGAAACTAAAAGCGAATTGTACCAAGACAATCTACGCCGACTTTACAAAAAGCTACATAGTCGCATAGCAAAATTTCACCATCTCACTTGCAGGAAACAAGCTACAAAAATTTGAAAACCCAGCCCACCTTGGGATCGGGCTGTACAGGCAGTTTTCATACAAAAACCATATCTGGAACCTGAAGACTAAGGCCAACAAGAGACTTAACCTTCCCAGACGGCTGGCTAGCACCTCATGGGGAGCGGACAAGGATGTACTGAGACAGCTATATGTTGGTTATGTACACTCTGCTATGGAATATAACTTAACTCTACAAATAATCTGCAGCAAACCAACTCAGAGGTCTCTTGACAAAACCCAGAACCAAGCTGTACGATTTATCTACGGAGCTTTGAGATCCACTCCAACTGCAGCTGGTGAAATCCATACGAACCAGGAACCCTTGGACTTACAGAGAAAGGCAGCAGTTGTGGAGATGAGTGATCGCTACAAGAGACTAGAAAAACCCCCACCCAAACAGAAAAATAATAGAACAGATACGACCAAAGAAACGAATTCGAGGAAGATCAATACTCGACACAGCCTCTGAACTAGTAGAAAACACCATCTTCCATGTAACAGAGAAATACAGAAACCCTTAAGACCAGAACCCCCCCCAAACACCAACATCAAGAACGCAAACATCAAAACTTCCCTCATAAAATAGACAGTGAAAAAGGAATGTGACCCAGTAGAACCGAAGACCACAGTTCTTGAGACAATTGACTCATACCCTAATGATTCAATTCATGTTTACACAGATGGGTCAGCCTTCAAGGGAACTATTAATGCAGGCTTTGGGTAAGAATAGAACATCCTGACAAAACATGTGAAAAACTATTTGATGCTTGTAGTACTTCTTGTGCAAATAACGAGACAGAAACCATCGCCATTGAAGCAGCAATTCTCGACCTGACCAACATTTTCATTATATATCCACACAAAATCAAATCAAAACACTGTTATCTTCACAGACTAAAAATCAGTACTCCAAGCTTTAGAAAAAATGAATTTCGATGGCCAAGCCTTCCTATCTGTTGCTCAAACAATTAACACTTTCAAGCAGACTCATGCCGTCGACCTGACTTTACAGTGGGTACCTGATCACAGCAACATCCCAGGAAACGACAGAGCAGACACCCTTACCAAGAAGGGAGCATCACAAACACAACCTCACAACCCAGTATCACAACAGACAGTCAAGAACATCATCAGATGCACCACCAGGGAACAGTGGCCGAATAGATGGGCAATGGGCAAAACTAGAAGAACTGTATTTGACACATGGCTGCTCCCAACTCAAAAGATGCACTAAATTCCCTGAATAGAGGAGAACAAGTCACTATCTTTCGCCTGCGAACACAACACATTCCTCTGAATTTCTACCTAAAATAGGATCCGCAAGGATACCCCACCCGACTGTCCGTTGTGTGACTGCCAGGATGAAACAGTGTCACGCCACCTCTTTACCTGTCGTCAAACCTAGCGACCTGCGTAGTACCTACCTTCCTGCCTCCCCAGACATCGGAAATACTCTATACAATGAGAGAACACAGCTGATAAAAACCCTATAAATTCTTTTCCGTATCGACAAGCCGAAGGGCTAGAACTCAAATGGCCGCTGGATCGGAAAAGTAAAGTAAAAGTAAAGTTGTGGGTTTCTCTCTTGATTTCACCAGCTCTAATTCGTGAAGCTTAATGATATGATCACCTGCCTGCCCTCTGTAGTTGCTGCTCTCCAACTGGGTTTGTCAGGAGCCATAGGTTGTTTAGTTTTTAGTTTTAACAATAGTTTAGGGCACCTGCAGTGCAATAAGGTCACAAAGGTGCGGAAGATTAGAAGTGTTACAAAAGAGCATTAAACACTAAAAACTTGGAGAAGAGATACTAACGATAGATGTTTGACAGGATAGAAGGAGCAAACCACATTTAAACACCCACTAACTATTCATTTTTCAGGTTGTCTTTGTAGCACATTAGATATTCACTGTTGAATATGCTGTCGATCCTGCTCTATCAGCCACCTGTATAGGACAATCATCTGCTGTATAAGACAGTCATCTGTATAAAGACAATGAACTGTATAAGACAATCATCTGTATTAAACAATCACCTGTGTAAGACAATCACCCGTATTAGACAATGAACTGTATATTATATCAGACACCTGTACAAGACAATCTGTAAAATACCAGCCTCTTCCCATTTCCTCCCTTGCGAATTTTTACATGATAATGACACTGTTTAAGACGGCCATTTTTCTCCTCAATATAGGGTGGCAGTCTTAGACAATTTCGACTGTATGTATTCCTTCAATAAACC